TGTTTCAACCCATAGACAACACATAGACTACCTTGGGGGTGGTCAGCAGGAACAAAACCATCTACTGCCATTGCGTGAAATTTTGCCCTACCGAAATTTTGCACTGCCAGAGCCTGATCAATATTCAAAGGGTTTGAAAATGTCCCTCTTCTCTAATACTTCGAAACTATTGGCTTTAGGATATTTCAAAGCCTAATTACAAAATTATTGACATGACAATCTTTACCGAGGCGGTAAGTACCATGGCAAAGATAACTGCAAGGAGAATTCACCCTCGTTTGGGCTATGATGAACACTTACTTTGCACAGATTTTAGGGGCCTCATGGGTACTTGGAGATGCATGTCCCAGGGATAGGCTTCTCCTGGAATTGGCATGTTGTTGGGATAGGGGTGTATATTGTTGGGATAGGCTTCCAGGCATGTCCTTGCCTGGAAGACGTGTTTCCCAAAAATTCCTTACTGCCACTCTTTTAATCTCTGTCCCTTCATTTAATTTTCAGATTTCGCAATAAACTTTCCATTTTCATTCCAATCTTCAATATTGTTTTTCTTTTTTAGAGAAGTTTACTGGTATTGAGTATAAGAAGTAAATATACAAAAAAATGACCCCTTGATAGGGTTGTATGTCACAAGAAGGTGAGGTAGATAACAAAAATTCTATACATTCTCATGGTGGAAAAGATCAAGACTAAAGCTATAAACAAAAAACTCAGAGAGACCCATTCCCAGGGGGTGTGCTGCTCCACCTTTGGCAAAGCGTCCGCCACGAAGTTGGCTTCATGCCATATGTGGGTCCAGGAGACATGGATTTTGGCTAGTGATGTCGAAAATCTCGTCGAATAAGTGGGCTAGCCTCCAGGGGTGGTCGGCAGAGCCCAAGGCCCAAGAGATGATAGATTTGGAGTCACCCTCAATGGCAAGTTGGTTGCCCCATTCAGGTCTATAAGCCTGTAAGCATTCGAGTAAAGCACTGGCCTTGTTGTGCTGTTATCGGCCAAGCCAATGGATTTAGATATGGCAAAGCACCTGCCAATTGGATCAGAAATCCGAAGAGGAGTAGGCCTTGAACCTTTTGTGATTCTTGCTCCAAAAATCGACCATGGTGACACTTTTTTCTTTGTGCTGCCCTGATTAGCAGCTCTGTCTTCCGAAAATTTTGTGATTTCGTTCAATCCAAATGGACCACAGGGTGGCTGAAACCGAAGCCTTCCAGAGGATTGTCCCTTGTTTAGGCCAAGGGAGGAATTGAGAGAGGTTAAAGAGGCCGGGGACAGACTGTGGAGTGACCCAAACCCAGCCAGAAAGTTGAAGAAGTTGCCCCCAAATGAATTGTGCGACGGGGAAGTGGAGGAATAGATGCGCATTCGTCTCCTCAGCACATAAACACATGGGACATCGAATAGGGAGTGGTACACCAGGCCTTAGCAGCTGATCCACTGTGAGCACCCTTTGATAGATGGTAAGCCAGTTAAACACCTGCAATTTTCGTGGAACGAACGTGGACCATGCTTTGGCCGCAAGAGGGAAAGGCCAGGGGGGTTACGAGATGATGCTGAGACCATATAGCAAGAGGCCACAGAGAAACTGCCTGAAGAACTGGGTTTCCAGATGAGTCTATCTTCGCTTGTGAAAGGGAGATAAGTGGGTTGCAAAAGGGCATGGAGTTGGTGGAACGACCCTAATTCTTGGTCACTTAAAAAGCATCTGAAAATGGGTGTCCAAGCGCGAGGGTGGCTAGATTGGGGAAAGTAGTCAAGGACAGAAGCTTCTCTATTTGTAGCAAGGAGGAAAAGGTCGAGGAAAGAGTCCCTCGAGGGGTGTGACCTACCCAAAGGTCATTCCAAAAAAGAGTTCTATACCAGCTCTAGGGAGGATTTGATGCGTTGGCCTTGAAAAGTTCATAGCAGCAGTTAATGGAGCGCCAAAAACCAGAAAAGAGGCTATTAACTGTGAAAGTGGGCATCCATCTAGAAAAATTGATGCGATATTTTCAGGATAGGACATCTTGCCAAAGATGACCCTCTTGAGAGAAAAGGCGCCACCACCATTTGGATAAGAGAGCAGAATTGGAGCCTCTCAAACTCCGGATGCCCAGGCCACCCGAGCTTTTCGGCCTGCATACCTTCTCCCATGCAACTAAATGGTATTTGTTGGCCGAGCCTTCCCCGACCAAAGAAAATTCCTCATTAAGAAAATTCCTCATTAACTATTCTAGTCGGGCCGCAATCAAGGCCAGGATGTGGAAAACAGACATTTGGAAGATGGAGACGTTTAATAAGGTTGCCTTAATGAGCGTTATTCTCCCAAAGGAAGTGAGATAACGACCCTCCCAACCAGCAAAACGTCGGTCGAACTTGTCAATGATGTGTCCCCAAAGGTTTTTCTTCGGTTTTCCTAAGCAAAGGGGTAGGCCGAGATAGAAGGTCGGCAAAGATTCTACCCCGCACCCCCACAACTGTGCAAACTGTGTGGTGAGCTTCCAAAGCCACCCCCCATCATCTTGCTTTTGTTCAAATTCACTTTGAAACCTGTGGCTAGCTGGAATTCTTTGAGAGGATAAGAGTAGAGATTGGACTTGTGGTTCCGAGGCATCACCGAAAACCAAAGTGTCATCGGCATATTGGAGGTGGGAGATGGCGAGACTCCCGTTGCCAACTTTGAAGCCATCCAACATGCCATGGATGTAAATTCTTTCAAGGGACCGGCTGAAAACTTTGGCAGCTATAGCAAAGAGGAAAGGAGATAGGGGGTCTCCTTGGCAAAGACCTCTAGAGGATGAGAAAAAACCTTTGGCGAATCCATTGATCAAAATTGAGAATTGGGCACTTTGAAATACAATTCCTTATCCATGATCTCCATTTTTGACCAAAACCCATTCGCCTAAGAGTTTCATCCAAGACATCCCAATCCACATGGTCGTATGCTTTCTCCCAGTCAAGTTTGACAACCAACCCCGAGACCTTTGCAAGGTGGCGAGAATGGATACATTCATGAGCTATAAGAGCCCCATCAAGAATCTGCCAGTCTTTGACAAAAGCACTTTGGTTTTGAGAGATGACAAAACCCATCACCTCTCTCAATCAAGTAGCCAACACCTTGGATAGCACCTTGTAAGAGCTATTTAATGAGGCTGATGGGTCGGAAGTACTTGATTTACTCGGCCCCTTCAATTTTGGGAATGAGTGCAATGAAAGTTGCATTCATGGCCTTGTGCACGATGCCCCTCTCATGAACCTCACGGAAGAAAGCAATAAAATCAGGGCGCATGGTCTCCTAGAAGTGTTTGAACACGGCTATTGGGAAGCAATCTGGTCCCAAGGCTCTGTCTTGCCCTAAGTCTGTTATGGCCTTCACAATTTCTGCTTCAGAAAAGGGTCGTTCAAGCCAGAGGCTCTATCAAAGGTGATGGTTTGGAAGGACAGATAGGGCATCCTTGGACCTTCAATATTGTTTCTACTTTGATGAAATGCTTATTCATCATTTTCTTTTCTAATATCTACCACTAACAAGGAATGTAATTCCATACAAGTTTTGGCCCAAGCAAGAATAAAGTACCAAAAAAAAAAAGGGGGGGGAGGCTAGAACTGAGAAATCTCAAGTTACTGCCACAAAAAATAGCGGGGAATTTCGAGTCCAAAAATCTTCTCAAGACTAATGCCACTCCTCAGGAATGATGCCGAATGACCATTGAGACAACCGAGAATCTTGTTTACAGTTGAGTGTCCAAGTTTCATAAGTTAACTGAGGTCAGAATGAGATTTTTGGGTCTCAGGAATCAAGATTGCCCAAAATTTAAGACATGAAGTTGCAACTGAGTGAAAATGATTGAGAAGCCAAACCCACTCTTAAACAACATCAATGAAATAGTGGTAAGCCAGAATTGCACTATGAACTATACTCTTCAGAATAGCAAACACAGGAAAAAAAACTTCATATTTTAAAACAAGGTGATTGCTCTTCAACTTAACCCAGAGCCAAAAGATGCTTCCATTGTCTTCAAAGCATTAGACACCCTTGATGTAGACTATTGTAATGCAATCATGTCTACGGCGAATATACAGCAAAGATAAAATTAGGCCGACAGAAGTACTCATCAAATAACTCATAAAGTTGACTCTTAAGAACCTTCTAAGGACAACAAAGCCCAAAAATTATCTGCCTTTTAGGTAAGACTGATAGGGTATCACTCAAGGATCTCAGAAAAGTAAATTTCTCGTAAAAAGGATAAAAAATCAATAAAAAAACTGCAAGTTGTCAATTAACATGACTCACAGGAGAAGTGTTTCGCCTCTTGATAAAAAATTTCGATACGGAAAAAAGTTGTTCTTTTTATGAAGGTTAGAATCACTTTTAATGTTCATTTCGTATAGCGACAATGGAGCAGCTGGGAGTGGTTGAAAAAGTCAGATCCATGTCACCAATATGTTGGCGCAAAGCATGAAGTCTGTTGGTGATAGGCATCATAAACACACCCAATAAACACAATTTTTCAGTGTACTTGGGCAAGACATTTGAACTTAACTTAAAAAACTACCCTAACTAATAAACATAGCAACTTTGATCAAATTACCCATCTATTCTGATCAAACACAGGATACCCCTCAATTCTTCAACGTTAGAACCCACACTCCTTAAACCCTGTTTAAGTTGGTTTGAAAACATCAATCAATCACCCTGTTTAAGTTGGTTTGAAAATATCAGTCAATCAAGCTTAATTACATTTGTTTCTTACTTTTCATGTTGCCGTTGACATTGATCTCACTATAACATCCCATTGATTTCTCTTCAAAAGTATCGTCTCTCCATGACCATCAGCTAGCGTAATCCCTAGAGTTTTAGATGCAAGCCACATCCCACCAACTAAATCCAAACCGTAAATTCAAATAAAGCAAACATCAGGGGTATCAGTTCAGACACCATTCATTAATATGCCCCCTGAACACAAGACATCAAACGATACTTCACAAAAGAAGCACCCTAAAACTCAACTAGGACCATCTTTGAAATATCAGCTTTTAAATTCCTCTTTCAAAGAATCAGGTGAAGTTCTTGAATTAAGTAAAAATGCTTAACCTTCTCCATGACCCATTGAAATTCTTGAATTAACTACAAATGTTTAACCTTCTCCAAGACCTTTTCCTTTTTGAAACTGGCCTTTTTCTTTACTTTCCAACACTGAACCAAATTGCTGCTCAATTTTCACACATCATTTTCAACCAAAATGTGATCTCTTCTTAATAGAAATGGGTAATGGACAAGTGATATAAGGAACATACTTTTACAGAGTCAAGTCAAAAGGATTTTATCCAAGGCCTGACCCAGCCTGCTCCTTGCGTGGTGCATCAGCCTTTACACGTGGCGGCCTCAATATGCGATCAATGAGACCATATTCCAGGGCTTCTTGAGAGGTAAAACGCTTCATCCGACTAAGATCTTTGTTAATCTGCATAATCCACATTCATATGAGAGAGAGAGAGAGAATGCTCAGAGCCTTAAAAACCAAATCTTTTTATAGGAATTCCAAAAGAAATCCACAAGCCTGTTTGTCATAATCAAAGAATACATTTGTAACTCTCAAATTTGAAGTAACTTGTTCGAAATTGATCATTTGACAATAAATAAATATATGTTTCTTATATATGGCATGTGAAATAAACTCTTAGTGTCATTTTGCAGAAGTGGAGTACTATAGACAGATACAGACCCATCAATTGAAATCAGTTGCAACTATCGCTGAATGCAACAATAAAACAAATTGAATTCAGCGGTGCATTTTCCCATTTAATTAGAGAGACCAAAAAGTAATAACAGAGATACATAGGGTCATCATGTACTGCTAGCTGTATGCAACAGATAGCTCATACATGTTGCATACAGCTCATACATGTACCCGAAAGGAAGAGAAGATCGATCAATCTATAACAATATAGTATCACAATTGCAACAATCAAGAACATGGTCCAATGACGAATGGGAAGATGGACAGTATTGAACTGGTCTCCAAACAAACTTGGTTGAATCTTTTCACCGACAAACCTGTACAGCATATCTCAAGTCATGTCATCGAAGTGGCCCTAGAATTTCATTCTTGACTATTTTATGCACTGTCCCAAATTCTGCTTTAAGACTTGAAATTTAATAAGCTGAATGTCTTAGAAGAAAAACTTCCTCAATGTGACAACCAGTAGCTGTCTTCCCTTGAGCTATCTTCAGCTGCTTGTCCTGGCCCCGTGCTTCGCTACCAGGTGGACTGTGTAGTCCCTTTGCCTATTTTCTCTCTCTCCCTCCATTTCTATTCTGTCTCTCCCCCCCCCCCGCCCCCACCACACACCCCCCTTCTCTTTCTCTCTAACTTTTTTCTCTTTTTGGCCCATTTCTCTCTATTCTCTCTGTTTCTATCTGTCAACTTCTCCCTATTTTCCTTTGTGATTTACTCCCTCTATTACTCTTTCTAGAATATACTTCACTGCTCTTTCTAGAATATACTTCACTGCTCTCTCTCTCTCTCTCTCACACACACACACACATATCTGTATTGTTTCTCTTTTCTGTTTTGTGAAGTTTCCCCTCCACGTTGTTCTGCTTATGCATTTGTTAGTCGTTAGTCAGTGATCCTAGAATAAAATCAGGCTTCCAAAAACTTCGAAACAACATGAAAATATGATAAATGATTTCAGCAAAGCACATACTAGATGTGTCGATCTTGAGATGGATGAAGTTAAAAATCTTAAGAAATCTGGTTATCTACATACTAGTTACTATTGTCCAATATGCAGTGGTAAAACAAAAAAGCGATCAGACAGCTATAATTTGATGATGAACTTCATGTTGTAATGGTTAATCAAAATAAATAAATAAATAATTCAACAACAATTCAAACAAGCAAAGGAAAACAGGAGGCAGGTGGCTGCATGGACCATTTTCTTGCAGAAATAAGATAAATATGGAGAATAATATGTTCAATATCATGTGGAAATAAATAGTCAGCAAGATGCAAAATTCAGTAGAACCATACTTTTTCAATAGGCTGTCCAGTTTTCAAAGATAACTCGTGAAACAAGTAATCTCTAATTCTCAATAGCTCATCAGCCTCATTCTTAATATCATCAGCCTGACAAAGCAATATTAAAGACAATCCATAAATTTACAATTTCCAGTGAATGATATACAATCTACTTAAAATAGGTAATGCCTAGAGAAAACAGCAATTTACTTCATTACCTGACCACGAGCTGCCCCAGCAGGGGACTGCAATGCCATCCTTGAAAGGGGCATGGCAAGACGGCTTCCCTTTATAAGACACAAACACAATAAATAATTATTAAAATCAAATTTAAAATTCATAGAGATTGATAAAGCAAAACGAAATTCATGACCCAAAAAAAGGGCATCCTACACAGAGAATTTGATGAATCACATGCAAGGAATTGTGCAAGGAATGTGCATGTGTCAAACCTTGTCTCCCGCTGCAAGAAGAAATGCTGCAAGGTTATAAGCATAGCCCACACACTGCGTTCCAATGGGGCTTTGCAAGCTTTGCATAGTGTCATAGATAGACATGCTTGGGGTAAGCTGCAAACGAATACTCTTAATACATCGAAAACAGCAAGGCACAATGTAAAGGACAAGTTTGATAAAAAGAACTCGATAAATATAGTGATACTTCAGATAAAGGGAAACAGTGAGCCAGAAAACAGAAGAATAACTCACATCACCACCTGGACCATTAATATACAAATACATCTTCTTGGAAGAATCCATGCTATCCAGGTAAAGCATTGTGGCCAGTATCTGATTGCTAAATTCCTCATCAATATGTTGCCCAATGAATATCACCCGCTCCCTATACTGCAAGTCAACAGTTCTATAAGTATCACATTTCATTAAATAAAGATGGGCAGCTCAAGGAGCTTCCCTGTTTGCATCTCATTCAAACAAGCTAGGAGAATTGTAGGCCACTTACAAGAGCATTCCATAGATCAACCCACTGCCAAGTTCCTTCACCAGGAGTTCTATAAGGCACTCTCGGTGTTCCAATGGGCATCATACTGACACGTGCACGGGTTGCTTTCTTGTTTGAGAGTCTGGAGAGAGAGAGAGAGTCTTTACAAATGGAATATCAATTTGAATAAAAATACAAAAGTACATTAATAGCAAAGTAACAAGGCAGCATTTGAGTAGTATTTTTTCTCTCTTAAAGATCTTTTCTGGAAAATACACATGGAAGAAAAAAGTCACCACACAAAAACTCCACAGTGAACATAGGAATTATCTTTCCATCTGATCTTCCACAAATTTATATAGGAGCCTTGGGGGATGAAATAAGCTTCTTTGTGCCATGCCAACAAAGGAGAACAGCTGGACAAAATGCCAACAAAGGAGAACAGCTTGACAAGTTTGTCCACATTTATGTCTAGGAAATCACACAAATTATATTCAAATTGATGAAAAATTCTTATTGCAGATTCGACAGTCTTATAAAAAAATTGTGATACCAAGTGGCACATTGTCTTAAAAATTGTCCTTCAGGCCATTGTTACTCCAACACTCACAATGGAGGCTGGTGTCACGTATGGACATGTGTCCACACATGACGCACAACCCCCGACACTTGTTGACACTCAACAACACTCGGTATCCTATCAACACTGTAAATAGGGGGTGTCTTGCATTTTTGTACATAAAATGACTAAAGTTTTATGTGTTAAGAGCTTACTCTTATCATGCATTTTTGTACATAAAATACCTAAAGTTTTATGTGTTAAGAGCTGACTCTTATCATTCAAAAAGTGTGGTTCAATTCCCATGGTTTGCGACACTTTTGCCTCCTTTTTTTGTCCTCGATCCTCTTTTTCTTTTCTTTTTTGAATATGTTGACTGTTGTATTAAGTAATAAAGAGATTTACAACCATGAGCATATACAAAAATAGACAACCCAGGTTGTAGGTGCCCTGTACAAAAACCCATTTAGGGCCCAAAAAATGCTCTACACAAGATCAGTGAAAAGAAGATAACAAGAATGGGGACCACATGCTCAAAAAATTGCCAAGAATCCCCGTGGTGGAGCTAAATCTTGCTCCTTCCCTAGCTAGAGCGTCGGCAGCCGCATTGGCTTTTCCCCTGGGTATGCCTCCAAGTGATGCACGTATCCTGCATATCTATGAAATCTCATTGAAGATACGGTCGAGTCTCCAAAGGCAGGGTGCAGAGCTAGAAGCTCAAGCAATGAAATTTCTGGATTCACACTTGGCTACCAATTCCAAACTCCAGCTGGGATTGAATTTTCAAAGGCCCTCTAGGAGGGCAAGAGCCTCCGCAGCGGGACAATCCGTAAAACCAATAAGGAGGGAGAAAGAGAGAAGGACAGTGTCATTGATGTTTCTAAACATGCCCCCAATGCAGGATGGTCCTGGGTTGCGCAGAAAGCAACCGTCAAAGTTTAGCTTAGTTTGGCCACATTTGGGAGGTCTCCACATAGATACACGTGAGATCCTTATGGGTCTCAAGTTCAAAGTTCAAAAGGGCCTGCCAATTGTGATGGAAATCAGTATAGGAGAAATCTCTTAAAAGCTTGTGATTTTTGGGACAAGAGGAGATGAGGGTTCTGACTCTGTTAATCAATGTAGGGATTGTGGCTCTCTCCACCCTGAAATTATGTTGTTCCGTTCGAGCCAAATATCCCAATGTGGCGACTATTGAAGCCTTCCAAAGGAAATAGCCTGACCTAGGCTACAGGGTGCTGAAGGGGGGTCACCCGGGACCAATTGAACAGACGGAGTAGGTCGCTCCATAGGGCTGAAGCAATGTCACAGTGGTTGGAAGAGATGTTTGTTGGTTTCTTCAGTTTCGAAACACATGGCACATTTATTGGCTAATGGGAGGCCCATTCTCTAGAGTTGATCGACGGTTAAGGCTCTTTCATAAAGGGCAATCCAGCAAACGACTTGAATCTTGGGTGGAATGAAGAAGAGCCAAGCTTTAGCGAAGCAGGAAGGGTAGGTGGCGGCATGATCATTAGATAGAAGAAGGCCACAGAAAATAGGACCACATAATAATGCTTCCATGGGAGTCAAAGCCTTCTCCAACTTTCCCGACAACATGGTGTCCACCATGTCACTATCACTAGCTGAATGTAATAAAAGGGAAGATCAAATTATATGTATAATCATGATATTCCAGTTTTTGGTTTTTTTTTTTTATTGATCGATTCTCGCCTGGAAGAATCAGTCAAATGTTCAATCTGGATCAGGTTCCCAGATGGCCGGTTCATTCAGCCGATCCGGGTTTTAAAACACTGGCAACAACAATACATCAGCTGGCAATCATTTTAATCATCGAACATGATTGGAGTACCTTGAATTGAGGCTCTGCTGAACTCTCTCATGAAATTCAACAGCCAAGGTGGATTTTCTAACAAAAAGAGGTCCTGCACAAACTAGCAGCATTTAGCACTTTCAAGATTGCTTTAAATAACAATTACCCAAATATGTATGTTCACAGTAATTGCGAAACAACACAAGAAAATAAATATCATAGTCCATCAATAAATGATTTGTTGCAAACTGTTATTGCATAAAGTTGCTTTGATTGCTTTGTTGGGAGGGGATCGCTACTAGTAGTCATTAGTCTTAGAGTGGGAACAGATTAGGAAGTTGGCTAAGTGATTGTAGGAAGTAGCAGTCCTTATTAGTTGCCATCAATTCATTTGTAAATTGGCCTGATATCAATGTTGTGACATGGATGGTTGAGCTTTGTCGACCATATATTGGTCATCCGGCCTCGGATTGGCCTGATTTTTTACAGGTAACCTCGGTGCGATTTGGATTAAAAATTGAAAGGTCATATTACCATTTTGGGCTAGTTTGACAAGAGTTTGACCGTGCCTCCATCTGGCCGGCTGATTGCTGATTTGGACATGATTGGGCTGATATCTTTATCTTTTGTGGCAAGGAGCTTTCTTTTATCATGTTAAGGGGATTTTCGTCTTAGGATTTATTCAGAGGCCGGTTTTTACCATTGTAGCTATTTTCGATGGTCCCTGCAGTATACCTGTAGTTATTGTGATGGGAATTTATTTGGCTAGACATCACGACTTTTTTAGTCCGGATTTTTTAAATTTGAGACAAAATACCCCGAAACAGGATGTCCCCCCTCTCAAAAGGAACTTTTCTAATGACTAATAAACTTTCACCCTTGGAGTCCCTTCTGTTATTGTATCACGATCCCATGAAAATGGTTAACTTTATGATACAGAACCATACACTAATTAGATCACAGCAGTTGATGAAGAGGAACTACCTTGATCAATACATTTTTTTTGACATTTGATCACCATGTCTTACTTGAAACTTGGAAGCATAATCCATTGAAACATCCACCAAGAAAGTAATCTTAACTGGACATGCATATATAAAAAGTCCTAAAATTGCAGCCAAGCATCCAAAAGTAATCCCTGTCCATTATTTTATTCTTTGTACAAGGAGTTTGCTTTTAAACCTTTCTTATTCCATTATGAGGTAGAAATTTGCTCCGTGCTAATTCATTCTATGCAAAAAAGCAATAAAATGCAGTATTAATAGCGTGAAATTCACTATCGAGCGATAACAAGAAAATGCTGCCTGGTTCCTTTGAAATGATGGATATTTCCCTGTCAAAAAGGGATTCAATTCCTAACACGCGTGATGAAAAATTCTGGTAACATATAATGTAATTAAGAATGGATTCATGTTGATAGAAACACAGAGCTCAAAAATTCAATAAACATGAGAAACATTATGATCGAGTTTCATCCCCATCTAATTAATAGAAAAGACTGAATGAATGCATGAATGAATAAAAAACAACGTATAAAGAAAATGAACAAAGACTGTAAGACCGAAAAAAAAAAAAGAAAAATCTCATTATCTTCATATCAAATACAGTAAATAAAGAACAATCACAAAAATAATGCCTACAAAAGCGTACCTGATGATTGGTACCTTAATCCAACAAACACCTTGCTGCTACAACTGGGAAGTAATCAAACTATTAGGGTTTTTCAATTAGCATGCAATTGAGAACAAATTGCCACAAAAACCCAGAAACATAAGATAACAAACCTTAGAGAAGGTTGAGATTCACTGGTAAGAGGATACAGACAAGGCGAACCAGTAGATTGGAAAGCAACAGTCATCTTTTCCAGGCGGCAAGAAATGGAACCTGCTCAAAGCTCCAAATCAGTGAGAGAGAGAGAGAGAGAGAGAGAGAGACCTAGGGAGAGAGAGCATCCAAGAATACTCGAGAGAGAGAAACAAACGATGCATACAAAAAAGTTTACTCGGGAACTCACTTCCAGTCCTTAGGATAAGATTACGGACATGGTTTCTGTGAATCCATGTAGAAACGAGTCCCCTCTTAAAAATCTACGTTTTAGATGGAATTTTGGACCTATTTTTTTTAAGGACATTAAATAGATTTTAAATTTAAAATATACTAATTTATGAAGAAAAAATTAAAAAATAAAAATAAATAAAAATACTAAGTTATGAATATCTTGGTGGACACAAATGTAGAAATGTCCCCTGACGCATGGAACAATTTTTCAAAGATAAAAAGGGTTGGGCATTTTGTATCAGGTGAATTTGATTAAAAGAATAATGATCAAAATTTACCCCTCTCATTCGATTAAAATGATAAATATCTATATTGTATAAAATTCAATAATTAAAATGAGCGCACTTTCAATATCTTGAGTCAATAATCCAATAAAATAGAGAGATTGATGAATATGTTGCTCATATAATTAGATATGGGTGGGCGAAGTGGAGATGTGCAACCATAATTTTTATGTGATCGTTACATGCCAATTAAGCTAAAGGGTAAGTTTTTTAGGACAGCTATAAGACCAGCTTCGCTATATGGGAATGAATGTTGGATACTAACAAATAATACACCCAAATAATGAGTATAGCGGAGACGAGGATGTTAATAATGGATGAGTGGCAAGACAATAAATGATAGAATTTGGAATGAATATATTCGAAAAATTTTAAATATAGCACCAATAAGCGATACGATGAGAGATAATAGACTTAAGTGGGCTGGTCATGTGTGGTGCATACCCAAAATAGCATTCGTTAAGAAGTGTTAGTTAATTAAAGTGAAATGTTCAAAAAGGGCAAGGGATAAGCCTCAAAAGACATGGTTGGAAGCAGTAAATAAAAATATGGGGACTTATAGTCTCACTATGGATATGATTATTAATATAGCAAAATGACAAACCAAGATTCGTGTAGCGGACTCTAATTAGTTGAAAAAAAGCTTTGACGACAATGATGATAGAATAAAATTCAATACAATTTCGATTATGAGAAAACCTCATTCAAAGTTTATAAGAGAGTGAAAGAAAGGGTATCCCCATTCAAAAAAAGGAAAATGGTTTGATAGGGCGGCAGCCTTATTAAAATATAACTTCATAACTCATAAAAAATTGCAAGTCAAGCGTTGGAAAACCTTTACGTTGATGGTCTCGACTTTAACATTACGGTTGTGAAAAATATAATCAGGATTTCAAGCTTTAAAAATAGCACAGATTGTAACAAATTATCTAGACCATTCATTTTGCTTTAAAAATAAGTGTTTACATATCCACAAGATGTGTACCATGTTTTAACTTTCAAATCTTATTGTTGGTGTTGGAAATTGATTTTAAAGCCATTATAGAGATTTTCGTCACCAAAAGTACTTTTTGGATGAAAATTTGAGGTGAGGCAAAAAAAAAAAGGATAAATTTTATATAAGTGAAAGGCTCTAAACAATCAAATTAATACGCACCTCAAAAATTTCACTAGAAGAGGTTGATCATCTCGACCTCAAGATGCATGGACATGAGAAAAAAAAATAGATTTAACGTTTTGGAAATAGTGCATCTTGTAATACATTTTTTGATCGTCAATTTTCAAGATTTTCATAGATCTGATTTATCTACTTTATTTTGTAAGCTTTAAATTTTATAATTAGATATGAAAATATATTTGAAGGTCATCACAAAGATTTTAAGTATTGAAACCACATTTCTCGAACTATTTGAAGGTGCGATTTACTTTGATTGTTTAGAGCCTCGGTTCTATACAAACCGCACCCAAACAAAATTAGATGAAGATTCTAAAAAGCCTACGCTTTATAAAAACCAAATACAACCTTATCTCAAATCCTCATATGGAAAGCACTTCCAGCAACAAATATTTCCATGGTGACTCTAAAATCAATTTCTAATACTAACAATAAAATCTGAAACGAAAAAAATTGTATAGATCTTGCGGATCTATGAGCACTAATTTTTAGGGTGAAATAGATGGTTTATACAATTTTTTAAAATATACATCATTTTTAAAGCTTGAAATCCTAATTCATTTTCACAAACATAATGTTCGAGATGATCCATGTAAAGGTTTTCCAATGTTAAATTGCAATTTCTGATGAGTTATGAGGTGAGACTTTACTTATTTTGAAGGGTGCGGTTTGTATAGAGTCGAGGCTCAAAACAATCAAATTAGAGTCCACCTTCAAATAGTGTCGAGAATAGTGGTTTTAATGCTGAAAATATGTGTGATAACCTTAAAATATATTTTTATCTTTAATTATAAAATATAAAGCTTAAAAAATAGTGTAAATCAAGCATATATGTGAAAACTTGAAAATCTTGAAAATTGACGGTCCAAAAATGCATTACAAGCTGCTTATTTCTAAAACTTGAAATCCATTTTTTTTTATGTCCATGCATCTTGATACTGAGATGATCAATTTGAGGATATTTGGGCATCAAAACAACATCTTCTAGTGAAATTTTTTAGGTGGGCTCTAATTTAATTGTTTAGAGCCTCAACCCTATATAAACGTTTTTTACCCTATCAAATCATTTTCCAAAAAATATTGTCTATTTCGTGAATGTATAGGATATTTTACGTCTTAATTTATGGTGTTATAATGTGCATGGAATATTGGTAAATGACAATGAATAATTGTTTCATGTGGGCTAGAATGCATTTCTACAATATGTGGTCCAAAGGTATAAAGCTTCCATATTAACACATGGATGCCAATAGATGGTCCATCTAAAAACAATTGCAACTAATGGTCCAAATGTTTTCTTGATATAATTATTATTTATAGTTTTCAATTTTTTTTCTCATATTCATAATCTCTATGTTAAAGAATATATATTCTCTAAAAATTAGGACCAAATTATATTTAAAAAATATGTTTATTGCCAACCTCGCAGTTCTACAATATGCGGGTTTGGTGGCGTATGCAGACGTTATTTCTTGATTTGGGCCCTTTTAATTTCTCTCTTTCTATCTCTTAAAATTTGACGTGCTTTCTGCTTCCACTCTCTCTAGACGCTCGCCTCGACCTGCATCTTTTTAGGTGAGCTTCCTCTTCCATGATGAATATCTAAAATGCTATTGTATTGGGTTCTTTTTCATTTTCCATGTTCTATTTGTCTTCTTCTTCTACTTCTTATTCTTCTTTTTCTTTAGATTCTGGTGTTTGGAGTTTCAGTGTTTAAAAAGGGGCTTCTTATTTTTCCTTTGTTCTTTTGCTGTTAATGGTGTTTCGATGACGTATTAATACAATGGTTTAGGTGATTTTCCTGAAGGTTTGGAGTTTAAATTTTTGGGTTCACTTTTTCCTTTTTGATTTGAGGTGGCATCAAAGCTTTTTGAGCTAATGAACTGATATTGACTGGCAATTTTTCTGGCAATTTTTCCTTTCTTATCAGTGTTCAAATCCATTTGCATCCTCTCTCTCTCAAATGGCAAATCTCGACTTGCTTCTGTTCAAACCCAAAACGTGCCTTTCTTCAAACACATGGTGTGGCCTAAGAAGAATAACTCTGACAGACTCCAACACCAGAACCCCAAATCCTCTCTCTCGAAATCATCTTCTTTCTCTCATTCCCTCCTCTCTCGACTCTCGGAGACAATCCAAAGCTCCGTCTATAACCTGCACATACAAAACCCAACTTTGCAACTGTAGCCCAATCCCATTTCCTTCTCACTCCACAGGCCTCACCGTCTGTTTCTCCCTCCAAGCCCCCACAAAACCATTACTGAAAAACTTGCAGAGAAATCTTCAAGTTTCAGCTGGTCGAAGCAAGAAGAAACCTGGTGGTCCATCAACTGGTCGTATAGAGGGAAATGCAGAGGTCCGAAGAGAAGCAAGAAAAGCATCAAGAAGAAGAGCAAGGAGAACGGTTGATAAACTCTTCTTTAGAAAGAAGAATAGCTCTGGTAAAAACTCGGCTGATGATTTCACTGAGGAAGAGCTCGAGATGATAGGCTTGGGCTATGATAGGATGGTTCGCTTCATGGACAAAGATGACCCCAATTTGCGCCACCCTTATGACTGGTACAAATATGGAGAATTTGGGCCCTTTTCATGGCGAGGCGTAGTGATTGGAGAACCAATTCGAGGTAGATTCTCTGATGAGAGAGTGAGCATGTTTGGCTCTGTAAAAGACCATGAAGAGTGGGAGAAGATTGAACAGTTTGACATGGCTACAGAATATTCGAGGCGCCTTGGCACCATGAATAAAGAAGTTGGGTTCAAATATTTTTGGGTTTTTGTTAGACATCCAAGATGGAAATTGGAAGAGCTTCCATGGAAACAATGGACTCTGGTTTGTGAAGTGGTGGTTGAATCAGGGGAGAAGAAGCTTGATAAATGGAAGCTTATGGGGAGGTTTGGGAACACTGTTAGAGCCTTGATCACGAAATGCGCAGCTTGGATGAGGCCCGATATAATCTATGTTAAGAGGCCTGTGTACCAGTGTAGATTTGAGCCTCAAGAAGATTTCTTTAAGTGTTTGTGGCCTCTTCTAGACCCTGAGTCTGAGAAGGAATACTTATTTGAGGCCAAAGTTGGAGAGGGAAAGACTGAGATTTGTACTTATTTTGGGGGCCTTTGCAAAATAGTGAGAGCAAATCCAAAGGCTTTTGTTGATGATGTTGTGAAAGCTTATGAGAAGCTTACTGATGAAAGGAAATCAGATTGTTGGGACTTCTTGCTTTCAAACCATCCCGTGCCTCTTCTTCATCCTTATACACGCGAATGGAAGGCCAAGCTCAAAGCCATGGGAACCGGTTACTATGATGAAGATCAGATTTCTAGTGATGAAGATGAAGTGAGGGAAACCAGGAATTGGGGTGAGTATGAAGAAGAGGATGAAGAAGATGAAGAGGGAGAAACAAGGAATTGGAGCGATTATGATGAAGAGGACGACAAAGATGAAGAGGGAGAGACAAGGAATTGGGGTGACCATGAAGATGACAAGGATGAAGACAAAGTGGTCGAAGGAGATGTGGAATTGGGGATCAGAGAAGAAGAAGCTAGGACCGAGGAGATCGAGAGGTATTGGGAGGAAGAGTTTGAGAAGGCGGTGAGGAGCTCGGAAGCCATGGAGAACCTCGTTAGGAGGAGTGTTGAGGCTTCTACTGAGCTTTACAAGAGGCAATTGAGAGCTAGGAATCAGATGAAGAAGGAAACAGAGGAGCTTGGTCAAGAAGAAGAGAGGATTAGACCCAAGCCTAGTAGAGAGGAGTGGGAGCATATAGGGTATGATACTAGGAGGATAAGGAAGAGGAAGATACCACCTGAGCTGTTTCTTAGAGCTGCAGTGAGGCCATTTACTTACAGGAATTTGTTGAAAGAGATTGTTTTGATGAGGCACGCCATTGTAGAGCAGAGAATGGAGGGCAAGATTTGATTAATCAGAGCTTTCAGCTTGGGGAAACAGATCTGGAACTTTGAGATTTCATGAGGCATCTTTGTTTGCTTTGCTTAAGGGGCAAGTGAAATTATCAAAGCTTACATCTTTGATCCAGTGTCGGTTTAAGTTGGAAGAGTTGCAGAAAGGCAACCTACAAGAAAGATTTGCAGAATGACAAGATTACTAGAAGTTAAATCGTCCTGTTTCTATGCCTTGACTTCATTTGATCGTTCAAACTATTAACCTTTTATATCACAACTCACTGAGGTTTGAAATCTCAGTTATAAAAGATTGAAGAGGTTTGCTGGGAAGCATTGTGGAGAAAGTTTATTGTGTTTTGCATTACACAGAGCATTAAACATGCATTAGAATGATGGGGAGGTTGGTGTTTGTAAGCATAATATGGGTCATTAACTTCTGTTAGTAATTAAAAACTCGCTGGTCTGACTCGGGAATTGCCCGTGATGGACTTGACCGGGACCCTGGCAATTCGAGAGGCCTAAAAGCAGGTCAATGACTCGATTGTAGACCCACTATGTTATTTTCGATGAAAATTGGCATAGTCAGACTCAGACCGAAGGCTTTTCCCTTGACTCAAAAAGGATACTGTGAAGGATCTGGGCTTGGGGACCATGGCCCGTTGGCCCCTAAGTGCAACCTTTCAAATACTGATTTATGTAGCTATTCCTTCGTTACATTTATTACATTGAGGAAATTTTGGTTAAGGATAATTTATTTCACATCCAAGTGACCAACGAAGCATCTGGGCAAATCTGATTGTTGGATTTCTGAGGTTCGAACACAGTTACAGTTTCAAATTCCAAAATTTCAAGCTTTGGGAAGCCAGAAAAAATAAAAGCTACAAAAAGAAAATGAATGGGAAATGTTTCTGATCACCCAAATTTAGTATAAATTCAGAGATCAGTACTCGAGTCTGACAACCTATGTCTGAACCTTGCAAACAAGGATATCAGTCATTCGATGTGATTCAATTCCTCTAAACATTGTCTCTGCCATGTGAATGTATGCATGTCAATGTGCATCAACACGTTCATATACACTTATACACATGCTTTTATGTATGTGTGCGTGCATATAAGAGTGCATCCTGTTATGACCAAATTGATTGAGCTTTTCTTTCGAAGCATCTTGATGCCTTGTAGGGCTGCTTGACAGGGGCTGGGTCTGGGCTCACACTGCAGACCCAACGACCCAGTGAGTCGGGTCTGGGTCCAGTTGACTAGAACCTAGGGGGGTCCAGTCTGGACCCCTTCCCAAGTCATCCAACCTGACTAGAGATATAGTATATGTAACCTTTAGTATATTTAGTACGTGATACAATGGTGCAACATAGTTTTCGCCATGGATCCAACCCAAGTCGTTAATTCTCAACATGGATCCAACTGAACCCGATGACCAGCTGAGTCCTGATTCGCCCGCCCATTATATCCCTAATCCAGTTCCATGAGCTTCACTCTTGGTAGTTGGCTTCTTGACCCCAACCAACTCTTATCTAGTCCTCTCCAACTGCTCTTCTGGCCCCCCTCTCTCTCACACACATATTACAGACCACTAAGGCCAATGTGAAGCCAGCAATGTCACAACTCCGCCCTTTCAATTTGAGAAAATCATATGCAAATATCAATACAGGATTGTGCGAGTAACTTTGATACCATAACTCAAGGAGCTCCGTCTTTGAACCTATGATAGGAAAAGTAGATCAGAGAATCACGCAGAAACAAAGGGGCGAAAAAAACCTTGAGTTTTATTTGATCTGACGAGCTCCTTTGCAGCTAAGGTATTTCAAACCCTGTGGTCATTGGGTAAAAGAGAAACAAATAAAACGGATAAAAGTTTATATAGAGCTGAGGCTCTAAACAATCAAATTAAAGCCCACATCAAAAATTTCACTAAAAGAGGTTGTTTTGATACCCAAATATCCTCAAATTGATCATCTCGATATCAAGATGTATGAACATGCGAAACAAAATAGATATGAAGTTTTGGAAATAATACATTTTGTAACACATTTTTTGGACCGTCAATTTTTAGGATTTGAAGTTTCCACATATATGCTTAATCGACACTATTTTTGAAGATTTAAATTTTATAATGAAAGATGAAAATATATTTTAAGACTATCACAAAGATTTTCATTTCTCAATACTATTTGAAGGTTTGCTTTACTTTGACTGTTTAAAACCTTAGCTTTGTACAAACTGCACCCAAATAAAAAAAATGAAGTATATAATGAGGTTATTTACTTTTGGTACAAAGTGGTCGCAATTAATCTTGACCTTTGGATGTGAAATTGGTAGGTGCATTTATTTCTTTTGACTAAACTCAAAGTTCAAAAGAAATTTTGACGCACCGATCCAATAAAAAATAGATAGTTGGGACATGACAACGACATTGTAAATCATGTACATTAATTGTGGACATGACAATGTACATGAATCGATAAGTTTGGGAACGCATTCGTTCCACGACTCTAGGTTGCAATGCTTATGCAACTTATTGAAAATTTTCATATTGCATTGAGTAGGGCGGAGAATTTACCTTATCTAGATTTTGGTATGGACAATTAGATCCAAGATTTGAATTTGATTGATCAGATTTGGATCTGATTGATCAGATTTGGATCCCAAATTTGGATTTGAATAGTATTCGGATCAGATTAAATACAAGTGGATCCGATCCGAATCCAACCGAATTATTAAAATACCATATATTATTTTATATAAGTAAACCTTATAATAGTTGGACAACTATAATGAATAGTAAGTAATATAGGCCGAATTTCAACCGTCTGATCTTCGTCGAATGGTTCAAAACACATATCACTATTTTAATTTTATTTTTTTTCATAAATATGTTTAAGATGAAATTTTGAATGTATATACCTAACACTATTGCGCACCATATAAAAATATAACAAAATTATTTTTAATAATTTAAAATGACCAAATAACCCCCATCATTTTTCAAAGGTATTTCGATCATTTTATATTTTGAGAAATATTTTTTAATCGTGCGTCCTGGTTTTTAGTACACACATCTAAAATTTCATTATGATCATATTTCTTCAAAAAATATTAAAATTCATTTAATGATATGCATTCTGAATCACATGATGAAGATTTGACGGCTAAAATTCCTCCTATATTACTATTTATTATAGCTATCCAGTTATTGTTAGTTTTTTCCATTATATATATACATATAATATTTTGTGGAAGATATTACAAAACGCCTATAGGTGAAAATGAACAGTGATTTTGCCTACCCTCATTACCGTTCAAAGTTCATCTCATGATCACGAATGTCTGATAGTGTTTCATTTTTTTTTTTTTTTTTTACAAATCGGAATGACCTGAAATTTAGAGCATGTGTTCTTAAAAAAATAAGTGAATCTACGAAACATATCAAAAAAATATTCTACATGAAAAAATTGACCAAAATACCCCCCAAAAGTTTTAGGAGTATTTTTGTCAATTTTTTTTTGCGAATTATTATTTTTATATGTTTATTAGGTGCGCCTATGCTCCAAATTTCAGGTCTTTGCCATTTATAGAAACAAAATGAAAAATAAAACACTGCTGGACAAATCATGACTATGCGATAAACTTTGGACGGTGATGAGAGTAGACGAAGTCATTGTTCATTTTCGCTTATAGACGTTGGGAAGACTGTTCTATATTTTATATGGTATTGTTTGTTGTATACTATTTATATATAGAATAATTTTTTGGATTTGATCAGGTTTGGATCCAAATCCAAATTCAAATCCCATGTGTACTATTTGGATCTAGATCCCATATATACCTTTTGGATCCAAATCTGGACCCTGATGGATCTGGACCCGATCCAACCCATTCTCAGCCCCAGCATAAAGCATGCCCTGAGAGGTCAGAAAACAATCATTCGAATAATGTTGCATACTCGTTACTAGCATTTTCGTAAGCACATCAAGAAGTGAAAGGCCTTATACAAGGGTCCCCAGTGATTACTAGGGAAATGTTTTAGATGAGCCAGCACATATCCGTTACAAAACGTAATCCTGATACAGGAACTTTGGGCCACATAAGCAATTAAAATAAGGCACCCAATTCCAAGCAGAAAATCCTATAAGCAATTACCATCAAATTACCTTATCTATGCATGTAGATCAGGTAAAGGCATGGCTATGATTTGTAGTCTATTGGCGTGTATGAATCTTTAAAGACGGGGCCATAGAAGCCACGTCTTCCATTGCAGACCATGGAAGCCGCATCTTCCTACTCTCGATGCTATTTTGGGTGGGTGCTACGGGAGACCGCAGCTCCCAAATAATGTGTAGCACTCCCCGTTGAAATGGAAGTGCTACAGTCTTAGGAAGTGAGTTTCCAAAGCCACCACTTTCAAAAAAACAAACGCACCATAAAGTGTCAAGAGTATCCTCTCAAATAGTTGGACAAAATAATAAAAATCTGTCATGATCTTCATGACATATAAACTAGTTCTACATTGATATGACAAAACCAAATGGTCAAGCTGACAATACTACAATGAAGCATAGAAAAGGAAAATCAAAGGCCAAAATCCAACAGAATAAAAAATGTCAGCGTTTTTTGCTATTAAAAAACCCACATAATTATTATGCTTCCTCTACTTAGTTTTTTTAGACAGAGTCACTATCGAGATAAAGAAACATCAGCATATGAATCTCATCCATCAATCATACATCTACATGACATAACCTTCTTAGTTCAACAATAACAAAAGCATCTGCAGTGCCGGTGCCTCTATATATGCACGCATACAGAATTTCTGAGAAATGTCTTGGCAGGGTCTATGAGGAGTATGCCGAGCATAATATTCCGTGAAATATTTGCAATAGAAGTGTGCCCCATGAGGTATTTTTAGTATTGAATTCAATGAAGGAAACATGCCCAAAAGTACTTATGCTGAGATATATAACTTTGCAATTGTGGCAGTGAGAGTATCCCTGTTACCCTACTAAACAAATATTTTGCCATTGGTGATGATATATCTACAAGAGTTATTCATATGGACATAGGCACATAGCATGGTACCAATAAAGCAGAACATAGAAATGGCACACGTTCATAAAGGTTGTGATACGAAAAATACTCAACAACAGCACCATGGATAGAGACCTGGTAGATAGATTACAATACGAGCTTATTGTCTTAAAACTTTGGACTTTGCACCATCAAACACAAATCAAATGGTTTTCCATTAGAGTAACTACACAATATCCTATCCATTATAAGGAATATATGGCACAGAAGTTCAATGGTGCAAACCCTAGACTTGAATGTGACTGGCAATGGAAACTGAACATTTTAGCTCATGGTTTGTGGTAGATATAATTTGTCAATGAGATTGGGGCAGCATCCCACATATATATAGTGCCATAAACCTTATAGGACTTAAGTGCTTCGACCCGTACTCAAAATGGAAAATGGGAAACAGGGTAGTTATGTACGTAAATCTCATTTTAGGTCTTCGTTAAAATTGATAGAAATCATACAGGGGTAAAGTGTTTCAACATGAAAACAAATTGGACGATCATAGAGATAGGAGTACTATTAGCTGCTCTCACACACTCCTTTTTTTCTGACAAATCTCACACGTTCATTTTTCTCATGCTCTTCACTAGACTCTACATTAACATTTAAAACTTCTGGTTATAAACAACCAACTATAAGGCAGAAAACAGAAAAAACAATTCATGCTTAAGATTAACAAGGACTAGTATTTTGCTTTCATGATACAATGCACTTGAGAGAGGTATGCAAGAGAAGGGGAGATGGGGAGAGAGAATAAATTGTAATCCCAAATGCATATGGTGAGTACGGGGGGATTATTTTTACATAGCAATGCACAAATTGTCCTGAGTTCTCCAATCCATTGTATACTAAGAATTTGACATGACCTTTTCACTGAATGAAAAAACCCAGGCCAAGGTCAAAGGAACCAATAAAAATAACAGCAACATACCAGTTATCATCAACATACTATTCCTTCAACAGTTAGGATCCACTCTGGAGTTGCCATCAAAGTAAAGCTAGCTCTGAGTAAACAATACTATTAGTTACCACTATAGAAGAATCAGTGAGCTTGTTATGTTTGTCCAACCCAGATATCAGAATGGAAAAAGTGAACACATCAGGAAGGAAGCCCCTTCCCAAGGCAATGCCATATAACTTAAAAGCATTTTCAAGATTGTACCCCCTGATGGCCCAGTTGCTTACAAGGCCGAAACCAATCTCATCTTGTAAGAGACACCTGATGGTGATTCGCTGGAAAAGCTTGTTAGCATCCTCCATCCTTCCAAAGGTACATAGAGAAACCAATAAGCTTTGTGAGATGAAGAAATCAGGCACTAACAAGCTTTCTTGCAGCCAATAGTATAAAACTAAGGCCTCTTCTACATCTCCTCTCTTCCTAAGCCCTTCCACCAAAATGTTACAAATTTGCAAATTTGGAATCAAACCCCTCACAGAAAGCATGTGTACAAGCTCAAGTGCATCCTTCATTTTCCCCTCCCTTTCAAGGCCACTGATGAGACTCGTGTATGTACCAATGTTAGTCTCTACACCCATTAACAACATTTCATCACACAACTTGTAGGCACGAGAAAGATTTCCTTCTTTACAATAGCCTTCAATAATAGTATTATAGGTGAAGATATTTGGAACTAGACCTAAATAGGCCATTTTATAAAAGATCTTCCTGGCCTCCTCTAACTTCCCTTCTCGAGATAGTCTATTAATTTCTCTGTTGCAATTGTGCACAGCTCGTTGTTTTGAGTTATTGATCTTAAACTCACCGTGGCAAGACTTAACAGCACTTCCTAATCCCAATTTTATCAACCAACATAACAACTGGTTTCCAGCTTCTCTCCTACCATCAACATAAAGACATTCTAAAAGGTCACCAAGAAAATGCACACTGCTTTTACTTGGGTACTTCTCAATCAGTTCTTTGATCAGTTCCATTGCTAGTGCTCCAAAACCTTGCCAAATTTGCATGTATATCAAATTCATGTAGCTTTTGCAGCTAGGTACAAGCCCTTTTGCTAGCATCCTATCAAAGAATATCTTTGCCTGCCCCAAATCGCCGAGCTCGACGAACTCACCAATAAAAATGGCATAAGTTTCTGAATTGGGTTCGATTCCCTTTTGTAAAATAGTTCCAAAGAGACAAAAAGCCTGCCTAGTAAGACCCTTTTGGACATAGTAGCTCAAGATTGGGTTACAAAGAGAAATGTCAAGAACAATTGAACGGGAACTTGCAGCTAAGAACACCAAGTGAGCTCTCTGAACATGACCTTCCTTGCACAATGCACAAATCAGTGCATTTAAAGCATGAGAATTTGAAATATATATTCCAATTGTTTGCAATTCCATGTAAACTTTCCAAGCAATATCCACCTGGTTTGACTTCAATAGGCATAAGATTAGATTGCAGCATGAAGAAGCATTGGGATGATGTCCTGAATCTAGTAGCCATTGAAATACAGTAATGGCTTGGTTGGGCATCTTGACTTGGGTATACCCCTCCATTAACAGACTAAAAATCAGAGGGTCTGGGTCATAAGTACTTAGGGATTCCAAGACGCGCCTTGGTGAATAGTTCAGTAAGGCCAGTTCCCTTAAAAGAGGGAGACACTCTGAGAACATTTTCTCTCTAAGCAACAAGCTCACCATTGCCGAATAACACCCAATAGAGCACTGAAACTGAGAATTAAGCTGAACGCATTTGAAGAAATCCATGGCTAAGTGTACATTTCCCTGCAATTTCCCAAGGACAAGCCTAACAGTTTCTGGGTTCAACTTAAAAGCAGTTATCATTGAAACCCAAACGCTAGAATCATACATAGTAAGGGTATTGCAAATCTCCAAGAGTCCTGCAACTTCTTGGTCGAAACAGGGCTCGGAGCCTTTTGGGTCCTCTGTTTCTAGAGAGTGAGAATGAAAGGAGGGTCTTTCCTTTTCTTGGGGTTTAAACAGAGTGGTTTTAGGGTTTTGGGGTCTGTTTTTTGTGGCTTTGGGCTCAAAGTGAAGAGCTTGTTGTGGGTTAAAAGCTAAGGTTGACCACAAGCTTGGACGGATAAAGAAATTTAGGATTTTATTCTTCCTGCTCCTGCAAATTACAGAGAAAAAACTCAGCATGCCTGCTCACCGCAGGCTGCCTCCTACACATCACACAGATCATACCCCGCTTTTCTTGAAGGTTTTTACCATTTCAGTAGATTTGGGAAACGTTTCGGCCGAATTTCTTAAAAGAACTAATATGGAATTCAAGTATTAATCTTAGGGATCTAGGGCATATCTGTAATATACATAATTAACCGGGGCTGTTTAGTATTCTCACTAGCGCTATTTGGATGCTTAGGTGGACGATCTAGATATCTCATTGTTAACATATTCTTTCGATCTGAACCGTCCATGCTAACCACATGGCATAGAAATGGAGGTTATAAGATGGGAGGGAAGCAGAATCAAGAGCTAGGGTTTTTACTTGTCGAAAGGGGCGCAGAAGATCATCAAGCTCTGGTCACTAAACCCTAAAAAATGGTAAACTTTTCTATGCTTGGATCCTCCATCGTGGATCTTTCAATGTTCTGGAAATTTGCTATGGATCTGTTTCCAATAGTATTAGAGTTTCGATGATTATAAAGTGTTGGGGTTTTGCTGTGAATAATTTTTTGATTTTGAATGAGGAGTTAGAGTTTTAGTTGTTTGAATGAGTGGATGGTATTGTTTGAGGAATTAAATATGATTAGGGCATTTGTCATGAATGAATGAGGGGGGATCTTATTTTGTCTCATTTTAAAATGAGGTGATGGAGTGGATTTTTTTGATGAATGAACGAGTATAGGGTTATGTTTCTCTTGTTTTTCTTTGAGTTCAGTGAAATTTGACGATGTTGGAATCTATTTGATGCTGAGGGTACCCTGTGATGGTAAATCTGGGGAGTCCATCTAAATCGGGTCCATTTTCTAGGTTTTTGTATGTATATAAGGCTGTAAAGATGGCTCTTAGAAGCTAGGGTTTTTACAGCGTGGTTAGTTCAAAGCAGCTTAAGCTCTTGTTCAGGAACCCCTAAAAATTGGTACGGTGTCTACATGGGCTTCAATCTTGTGTATTTATATGGCATTTCATGGCAAATATTTGTTTTCCGTTAATTTTATTTCATGCCCAATAATATGTTGGTTTGTGTTGCTATTGCTTTACTATGGGCTGTGCTAGTTATTCTAGACTTTTTGATTTAGTAATATTAATTTTTGGCAGTATATGTTGAATTGTGCTGTTTTTAGACAGTGTCTTGTTTTAATCTCTTTCTTAGTTAGTAAGGGTTCTTAACCCCTTGAATGTTGACATTAGGGTTTTCTTTATGGAATGAATGAATGAACAATGATTACTTCTTTGTTGTTAAATAGCTAGAGCTTCATTCTTTGTTGGATGGAAACCTGAATTTTATAGTGATAGGATATTATGTACATCTGATCTGTAGCTTTTCTGGGTTTTTGCCGGTTAATTGCCGCTTGTGCTTGTGCATCAAGTTTGGGTGCAATTTATTCCGCTGAAACTTGCTTCTTGGCTGTCCATATTTCACGAGCTACTGTTGCCATAATGTTAGATTTTATGGCTTCCCTGGTGCCATGATATCTGAGCAATTGTTTCATTTAGATTTTGCGTCTTCATATTTTTTGGCTTTTTAATGAATTTCTGAGTGATATTTGCCCATCAACCCCATCCCAAAAAAAAGAAAAAAAGAAAAGAAAGTTTGTATTTTAATTTCGTTATTTTAATTTCCCTTGACTTTTCCTTCACTTGTATTATTTCTTTGTTCTTCTAGAAGTCCATTAATGATTACAGTGTTCTTTGACTCGCCTGAGCCCAAGTAACTCGGCTTGTCCAACTCCCCTTTAGCAAAAACATGCAAAAAAATATATAAAAATATTTTAAAACACAAAAAATATTGGAAAACACCAATACATAATTTAGAAATACATTTTTAGGTGATTTTGATTGTTTCAAACATGATTTGAGAACTTTCAATATTTTTTTTGAGAATAGACTTTCAATATTTCTTTTTTTTTTTTTGAATTTTCTGAAACATCTAAGGTATAAATAAAATTTTCTGATAATCCATATTTTATCTATGTTTTCATCTTATTTATATCTTCTAATAATTTATCAATCTCTTTCGTCACCCTCTGTTAAAAGCTGTTGTCCTGAACCAGCTTTCTCCTGCTCCTTCATTGCTATCCTGCCTTTTTTTCCCATTAAAAATCCACAGAACATTTTAGATATATATATATATATGGAGAGAGAGAGAGAGAGAGAGAGAGAGAGAGAGAGAGAGAGAGAGAGAGAGAGAGAGAG